ACTGACTATGCCAGTGGTGTCGCACTAGCACTATCACAGGATGTATTAGCTGGGATTTTATGGTACTGTATTTATATGTGTAATTGTTGGTTTTAACTGTATGTTGGTTTTAAATGGTTTGTAAGCCGCCCTGAGCCGCTTCGGCGGGGGGGCGGGGTAGAAATGTAATTAATTAATTAATATAAATAAATATATGAATGCTTTTCAATATTTAGTAAAATACAAAATCTGTGTATTTCTTTGGTAGAGAGCAATTCTTGTTCGGAAAGTTAGTAACCTATTCAAAAAATGGAAACAATTTTTCCAGAAATTTAGCAGAGCTTCTCAACTTGTTTATTGATGCTATCTGGTATGCCAGTTTGTCTGTAACTGTAGAGGGCGTGTTTTAATGAAAATGGTCTGTCCCCTACCTGTACTATGGTGGGGAAGGGAGGGAGCAAAATTGTTGACTTAAGAAGAAGAAGAGATTGGATTTATACCCCACCCTTCACTCGGAGTCTCAGAGCGGCTTACAAACTCCTTTCCCTTCACCTCCCCACAACAGACACCCTGCGAGGTAGGTGGGGCTTAGAGAGCTCTTTCCAGAACTGCCCTTTCAAGGACAGCTCTTGTCAGAACTAGGGGTTGCCCAAGGTCATCCAGCAGCTGCAGGTGGAGGAGTGGGGAATCAAACCTGGTTCTCCCAGATCAGAGTCCATACACTTAACCACTACACCAAACTAGCTGAGAAGTGTCTGAGGAGCTCCCGTAGGCATAAGTCCTGCTGATTGTGCCACGGACTAGGTGGGTCTTGGGGATTCTGGGAAACCCGTGCCCTTTGCGTTGCAAGTCTCCCACCTTGCCTGTGACCAAGGGGAGGTACTTCCTGGATGTTAAAAGTGCCTCACCCCCAAACCTCTGGAGGATGCACCTAGAGTACAGATTCATCTTCTCTCTGCCCCAACCACCAAATGATGCCTTCTTAAACACCAGGAAACATGTACACGCACACACATATTAATAACCAAACTTGCTTGACTAGAAAAAAAAGATTGGTGCATGCTCCAGTTTTGGCTGCTGGTTTGTTCTGTAAATATGGCCTATTTCAGCTAGTCATTTTCAGCTCTGAGGCTTGATGCTGAGGCTCAGGCCTGCCTGGGAGCTTTGGGGAGGGGAAGCTAGAGGTGCAGTGGCATCAGGGGTCCCTTTCCTACAAAGGCTTCGAAGCATGTCCTTGCGCTGGAGAGTGAGGCTATGGAGCTAGAAAGGGCAGAAGTGTCGGAGAGGCTGACCAGGTTTGTGGAGCAGATGTCTCCACAAATATTCATCTATTTTGGAGAGAGGAGAGCGACATTAATGAGCAACTTTCTCTTGTTCCAGACACTTATATCCAGAAAACCAAGAAACTTTATATTGACAGTCGTGCAAGAAGAAACCTGAGCTCCATCAACACAGAGTTACAGGATGTGCAGAGGATCATGGTAGCCAACATTGAGGAAGTCTTACAGCGAGGGGAGGCACTTTCAGGTAAGCGGGGGGGGGGGTGTAGAAGGGAGTCCAAGAAAGTGTAAGGATTCTGTTTTTCCCAGGATGATTAGACAAAGTTTTGAGATTCCACGAGTGTATCTGTCTACACAGATGGAAAGGGGAAACTGGGCCAAACTGCTCTTAGTAATGTAACTGTCTAATAGTTCCTAGGATAGGCAGCACAGTTTCACACTTTCCATATTTGTGACTTTAAAGGTTAAGATTCTTTCTTATTGGGGGGGGGGATCTGAACCTCACACTGCTGTTTATTAAGAGTATATAATGCCTGCTCTTCTTTTTAAGGTAAATACTCAAGGTAAGATGGCTTACACTTTTTTAAAAGGCACACAAAATAAATCGGCAGTCATTAAAAATATTTAAGCGCAAAGGACTTCCACATTTAAACAATTCTCACCTGACACCAGAAAGTCTCTTAAGGAAGAAGTCATCCAGCGGGCAAAGATGGTCACTCGGAAAGGCCTCGTGGGGTTTTCACCAATCCCATTTCCCCAGCTGGGGGTTCCCACAGTAAAGCTTCCCTGACCAGCCTCAGCATACAGGTGGGGGCATTTACCTTAGATCCAAGCCCTTTCGTACTTTGAAGCTTATCATCAGCTCTTTGTATTGGGCACAGGAGAACATTAGTAGTTCAGAAACCAGTAGGGGAACATTTTAGCCTTCCAGGACATGCTCATGTTGATTTTAAGGTTACTAGTCTCCTTCAGAAAAACTTCAGAGGTAGGCTCCAATATGGAAGTGCTGAATTATATTTCATTAACAAATTCAAGACAATGTACACCCTGGGCCTTAACAGGGATCTTGGACTCTTAATTCATTAGAGGCGCTAACATATTGCACATCCCGCTCTTAAAGATGCTGACTTGTTCCACTATTTCATTTTATCCTTTATTAGACTTTGTTCGCATTTTGCTTTGGTTCTGTTAAAGAGTGTCTCCTGACATTCGCAGTGTGTGTGGACAATCGCTCCTTCAGTTGCATCTTCTTTTCGAGTGGGTGCTCTTTGTAACATCTCTCCCCACCCTGGTATATAAAATCAGGCTCCAATGGTTGTATACTTCAGGCATCTGAAGAAGTGAGCTCTGGCTCATGAAAGGTGAGACTGAAGCCAAGTTTGTTGGTCTTCACCTTGCTGCTAGACTCCTACATAATTGGAACGAGATGGGAGGACAGTACTCACTTTAGCCAGCCTTTGTAAGCACTCTGGCCACAGCATTCGGAACCAGTAGGATGTATAGAAATACACACATACATTGGCAGAATGCAGCCCTAATAGAAGAAATGAAGGCATATAAATTTAAGTACTAATTTCAGATTTCCCCCCCCCTTTCCTATTTCCTTCTTTTCCAACAGCTTTAGATTCCAAGGCCAACAACTTGTCCAGTTTGTCCAAGAAATATCGTCAGGACGCAAAGTATCTGAACATGCGCTCCACCTATGCCAAGCTTGCTGCTATTGCTGTGTTTTTTATCATGCTGATTGTCTACGTGCGGTTCTGGTGGCTGTAAATAGTTACCCGGCACCCAAAAGGGAAAACCGATAGCATAGCAGGTGCATAATTGCAAGAGGCCATGATCCCAGGACAATATATTAGAATCACCATCGGTATATCTTAGGGTGAAGATTGTTGCTCCTCTCCAGTGAATCAGTTCCAAAATAGTGGAGCCTGCTGCAAAGTAAAGATTTATGTTTCCAGAAGTGATACACTTGAGAGAGAGCTAGCCTTGTCCATCCCATAAGTAGTGTCGATTGGGGTGTTTTGATCACTCAAGTTTACTGCTACTGAGCACTGCTAGCAGTAAGTACATCTCCTTTGCCTGTACGCAAGTCTCTCCCTAGTAGATAAGGAGTTTAATGAACATTCCTGGTCCAGTCAGCATATTTTAATTGAGAATCTGGGTCCTGCTACTTGAACAGAAATGTCTGTTTGAAGGCTGAGTCTTTAATGTAAATAACTGTTAGTTTTCGGATTGTCCAGTTAAGTGCTGAATTTTCACTATGAAATATCTTGGCTCATCATACCTTTACACATCCAGTAAATAGATATGATATTCTGCCTTAACAGACTGCATCTAGTGCTAAATGAAATGTTACAAATCGTTGTCATAGAATTAAATTCAGAACATGATCCCTTTTCACTTCAGAGAAATCTGTTTTAAAACATTAACAAGAATGGTACATTCTCTGTATATTTTAGGAGCAGTTGCTCATGTTTCATTTTTATCCTCTCTTTTTGTGAATGGCAGTGTCTCGTCCACTCCCCCCACCCATACATACACAATTCCCAACAAGGCCCCCTGAACCTCCCCAGTTTACAGAACTTTTACAAAGGTACAAGTCTTAAACTGAGAGTTTGATCGTCTGTGTCCTGGGGAAGAAATTAGTTCCTCCGTTTCCTGGATCTTCTGTGAGGCAGAAATCAAATCATTGCTGTGGCCCAGAAACTAAGCTTTGTAAAGTCCATCTTGCGGATCGGCTGCTGTTTGGTGGGTATAAGCCAAAGGGCCTTCAAATATTCATAGAGTCTGACAAGCAAATTTGCTATATTCCTAGGTTGGGAAATAGCACAACTACCTTCCCAGGTACTGTCATAATCTCTGAGGCAAGACAGCAGGCTGGGTGTTTTGGCAGCAAATCCTGCCCTGGCATCTGGATGAGGGCTCATGTCTGGCTGGCACATTGCTGCTGAATTCCTGAAAGCTTTTGTTTCAACCGAACATTTGACTTGTAGAAGTCTCTGCGTAACTTGAAGTGCCCGACAGGGGACAGACACTATTTCTTGATTAAACTGTTCCCCAGCAGTGACTGAAACCTCTGAGGCAAGTTGTTTGCTATGGTTCTCAAATACTAGCAGTGAAATAAGCACATTAAAGTGAATCTTTACACTTTCTTTGACTCATTCCTAATTTCCTAAACCACCATCTGCATTTGTGCTTCAGATTGCTGCCAGCAAGAGACCTGTGTTGCAAACTGTGGGTTTCATGTGGCAACTGGCCACTTTTTCTTTACTGATAACAGCAACCGGTCTCCATTGTTAAGAGTTTGGATTATCGTGAGTTTTATGTGTTTATTTTTTTAATGGTGAAATTATGCTGTTGATGTTTACTGACCCTCATCTCCTAACGTCTCCCATTGGAGATCTAAGCCAGTGGTTCCCAACTCAGGGACCGGTAGAGCTGTGAATTTATGGTGGGGCACCTTGAATTCATATGGGCACTAAGCATTGTCATGTTGATCTTGTCATTAGATAATATTTTCTCAATCGATGAATACTAGTTGTACAGCTACTATCTGCAGGGAGCGCTGCCATGTAATGTTCAGTTTAAAAAGGTACTCGTACTCAAAGAAGCTGGAAATCTCAGCAGAAACTGATGGAACATCAAAAACGTACTGGCATGGAGTTAAGAAGCCCTATACCAGCGTGATACGTGACCAGACGTCTATTGTGACCTGGCCAGATTGGCACACTAAGGCATGACTGCTCTTGCACCATACCACCCCAATCTAATCAGGTTTTGTTTGCATCACAGTTGATGGCCCTAGAAGTGGATTTTCTCCCCCAGCGCTTGCCCAGCAGCCTGGGGCTGTTGTGCTGGCCAAAAAAGCCCACATTTGGTTTCCCCGAGAACCATCCTCAGCACAGCCCCTTCTGCCTCTACCTTTGATAATGGAAAGTCTCAGGTTCTCTAGCCCTCGGCATCTGTCTCTCTGCGCCATGGTCACTGTCTTGCAAAAAAACCAACAACCCAGGCAATAAACTGTAAGCCCTGGGATGCAGTGAAGGAGGGGGACACGCGGGAGTGCAGTGTCAGGACACTTGAGTTTTTCAGGCCTGAAGCAAGAGTGTTCTCAACCAGAGTTTCTGATGGACAGAACTGCTTTAAAAATGATAAGACTCAGGTGGGTAGCCGTGTTGGTCTGAAGCAGCAGGAGAAAGTCCAAGTCCAGTGCACACGAAAGCTTACACCTTGGATAAAACTTTGTGGGGTCTTAAAGGTGCCACTGGACATGAAGTTTGTTTTAAAACCATGTGTGCTCCTAGCCGCTCAGGAAAAAGCCCATTCAGGGACCTGCAGTGTCTGAGTTTTTAGCGGGTTAATTAGCCAGGATTTAAACCACCAGACCTAACCTAGGATCTGCCTTCGCATTGGAAAAGATAGGTTGTGGCCATTGCTTCCTCCCCACCCCACCCCCCACAAAAAAAGGGAAAACCCCACTCTTGAAAGGAGTCTGCAAATCTTCCTTTAGCAACGGGTTCAACCCATCCACCCACACTTCATCTTTCCTCTCCTGAAACTACACCATCCTGGATCTCTCTCTCTCTCTGCCTGGTTAAGGAAAGTAGAAGTATTTTCTCTATTGGCACTTTCATACATGTTGAGTAATGAGCTTTTACTGCATTTTAGCAATTGTTTGCAAGTGGATATTTCTGTTTCACACAGTAATTTCCAGTTACAAAGTGCATGAAAGCAGCTCAGATTTTTAAATTTTTGCAGCATCTTTTCAGTTCTGACCTAGTGGTGGTGGAAATTCGAGAGGCAAGCTTTTGTGATAAAGCAACTTTTTTACAAAGCACTGTATGAATCTCTACTATTAATAACAGCAAGGCCTGTCAACTCCTATCAGTTATGTTAGCTAGATGGAGCCTCCTTTTGGTAGTTCTTCAGTAAAAATCTGGTCTATGCTTATCACAGCTGTAGTCCTCCTATGATGCTCTAAGGAACCTCATCAGAAATACATAATATAAAAATATTGATTGAGCCCATTGTGTCTATCCAAATAGTTTTAGAACAAAATGTTGAATGCACATGTGTGGATTCATCTACATCTGGATAGTCTGGCAGTCACTGAGAAACACAGGTTTGTGTTGCCATAAGAAATACAGAGATACAGAGTAAGTCTCACCTCAAAACTGCTTTTAACAGTGTGCCTGTAACAACTTTAGGTGGCTGTGGTGGCAAAGCCAGATGCCCCTGTAAATTGCAGAGGGGCAGCCTTATTAGTTTGTTGTAGCAAAATAAAGCAAAAGTCCAGGGACATCTTAAAGGCTAGCCTTTATGTGAATCACAGCCCATTCCCTCAGAGCTGAAGGAAGTGAGCTGTGACTCACAAAAACCTAATACTGAGAGCCAGTTTGGTGTCGTGGTTAAGTGCGCGGACTCTAATCTGGGAGAACCAGGTTTGATTCCCCAATCCTCCACTTGCACCTGCTGTATGACCTTGGGCAAGCCGTAGTTCTGATAAGAGCTGTTCTTGAAATCTGCTCCTTGCATAGGCAGTTTCTTCTGGAAACAGTAAACAGTCACTCCTGGACTCAGATCCATTTGGCTCTTGTGTCTGCTTCAAAGGCAGGTGGGCACTTGTTGGCCTTTAAGGAGCCACTAGACTGTCCAGAATCAAGTATGCTTAGATACAGAAGGGCAATGTGTCCATTGCCTATGGATATGATTTGTGAGGAGGTCATTAATTTTACTGGCCAGCGGACAGGCATCTCTGGTTACAACTGTAATGCCTCAAGAGAGCTTGCTATCAGAATCAAGTGGAACTACTAGTAGATTATGGTAGGCATTAGTTTTGAAAAAGAGAGCAATTGATCTAAATCCATGGCTCTCCTTTTTTCAAATCTCCTTTCTTTCATATATAATTGCCACTTCAGATCTTTCTCTCAAATTTCTGGCATCCCTTAACGAGATATTTCTTGCAGAACATAATTGAGAGATCACAAGCCGAGAACTATCACATCCAAAGATCATCAGGCATCAATCATGCTGAAGTCAAAAGACAGTGGACATCTAATTGTGTGTAGTTACTCCAGACTTCAATAGAAGTTTTGCCATCTTAGTACCAGTGGTGGTCAATGAATGACCCTGAGTCAGATAACAATGGCTTTTTGGTTGTGTTTAAAACAGCAAGTTTTCTACACAAGTAGCCCTTCTATGTGGACATAAGCAAATTATGTTGTTTGCATGTCTCCACAATGGGTGGGAGAGAACACAAAATTCTTTTCCCTTTAGATACCTTCTTCATGACTGAAGCCATTGAAAAGATGTAATAATGAATCCTATCTAACTGGGACAATCATGACCACATTTGCAAGAATGTAAGTCTTTTTGACTTCCTGAGCCTTTGTACCAGGAAGGAAAGTCTTGAAGGACCTTTGCTGAACTTCTGTGAATCGTTAGGTTTAGAGGTGGAATTCGCCCATCACTTTAATCTTCACAATAAATGTAGCAAACACATTTCCTCCAGCAAGGGCATTATCCTTCAACATCCTGTGTCCTCCAGTGATGACGAGTCCCAAATGGAGGTATGAACCAAGAGCCCACTGATGAGAATTCAGTCATTAGATCCCACTCCTCTCCTTTCTAGCATGGAGGCAAACCTTAAAGCAGTGACTCACAAAAGCTCAAATCCTGCCACAAATTTTGTTCATCTTTACGGTGCTATGGGACTCTTGCTCTTTCAAACAACAGGCAGTTGCTAGTTTTACTGATTTGCAGGGTGGCACCTTCAGAAGACCTTGTTCAGATGTGAAGTTGTCATGGCAGAGCATAGGAGGAGACGAGGTTTCTCATCTATGTGGCTCCAAAGTAGGTACTTTGCAAATTCAGCTTTGGGAGAGGACAAATGCGAAGTGTGGAGTTTCAATTAATCTAGAGAGTAGGGAGTTGGGAAATTTCTGGAGATTTAAAGGTAGAGTCTGGGGGAAGCAGGTCTTGGAGACAGGAAGGATCTCAGAAGGGTATAAGGTCCACCTTCCAAAGCAGACATTTTCTCCAGGAGAACTGATCTCTGGTGTGTGTACATCAGTTGCAATTCTGGGAAATCTCCAGGCCCCACCTGGAGATTGATGGCTCTATTGCAGAGGCTGGTTGGGCTATGGAGATACAAAAGGATTGGCTGAAGAGAAAACCATAGTGAAGATTGAGGGGGTGGGGGCAATGTCCCCTCTAAGCTGTGGAGTCCCATGAGCAAAAATTCTACTTTGTGAGCTACCGGCATTAAAGTTGTGAGCAAGCCATTTGGCTACTGCCTAATTTAGTTTGCTCTGGAGCCATCCCTTCCTGAGCTGAGACACAAATGTGTGAGCCAGAGGCCAAAAAAATCTGTGAGCTAGCTCACACTAACTCGGCTTAGAGGGAACATTAATGCTCCCTCTAAGCTGTGAAGTCTCGTGAGCAAAAATTCTATGTTGTGAGCTACTGGCATTAAAGTTGTGAGCGAGCAACTTGGCTACTGCATAAATTAAGTTTGCTCTGGAACCATCCTTCCTGGGCTTAGGCAAAAATGTGTGAGCTGGAGGCTAAAAAACTGTGAGCTAGCTCACACTAACTCAGCTTAGAGGGAACACTGGGGGGGCACTCCTTGAGTGAAAAGCAGGAGGCCTGCAGCGAATTCAATGGCTTGAGAGGGCAGAGACCATTGACCTCCCCCTACTTACAAGCCACACCACCAGGCCTGTAACTACAGTGAGGCCTCTCGGGGCCTGGCCCCACAACTTTATCGCCAAGGCCCCATAACTGCCCATCCAGCCCAGAACCCCCAAATCCTTTTTTTTTTTAATCCCCTGAAGACAGGGTAGCTTTATTAATTTTTTGTTACACCTACAGACTAACAGAAAAGAAAAAGGGGAAGGGAAAAGTTACCCCGGGATAAAAGGACAGCAAATTAAACCCACACTATGACTAAAAACCCAAGAGGGAAGGTCCTTAACACTTAGTATTCAGTTAGTATTAAAACTTATAACTTTTCATTTAAGTCAATGAATTCAAGAATTAGTCAGTCCGTGTTAGTATTCCATCCAGCTTCTCTTGTGTGCACACAAATCCTTATTTTTTCATGCCACGGTGCACGGCTGCAT